CCTCATTCATTTCTTTTGTCCTGGTGCCACAGTCCGTTCAGATGATTGCCAGGGAAGGATGGTACATAAATGAAAGTTCCATATAGTTGCCTGAATCACCGCATCAGGCAATTCAAGCAGCCCCCAGGCTGCAGCCCTCAACCCCCAAAATCCTATATACACCCTCACTGCTCAGCTTCGCGCAAAACTGTTCAACCCCAAATCTGCCATCCTCAACTTTACCCGTGAAGCGTTTCAGGTGTCCAAGCGCAGCGAAGTCCTCGCGGCAGCCCTTAATGAGCTGGAGAGGCCGCGCAGCGGCTGAGTCTCGAAGCAAACCTTATCTTACTGGGTTGCTGTTAAGGAACTTAAAATAAGTTACCATAATGGATATATATAGTAAATAATAGGATTTCCCCAATATAGTAACTTAATTTAAGTTCCCTAACAGCAACCCAGCTTACCCAGGGAGTTCGCAAGATTCTGGGTTCCCTTCCACAATTGCATACTGGGCAAGCCTAATTTGACAAACAGCCACGACACTTCATAGAGTACTGAAGTTTCAGAGTTTGGCTTGGGATATTATCAGTTGGAGGAAAAGTCGGGTCTGCTGTGTTTGGAAATGAAGTTTGAGAAACTCCAAGGTTCAAAAGACATGTTGATTCAGGCTTGTAGCAATACGTATCCGGCTTCGAAAACTAAGCAAATTACATGAGAGAGCGATGCCCTGTCCCAAAAGCGATACCCCTCATTCCATTTCCGCCTCAGAGCCTTTGAACTTAGATTGCCGCTCATATAAACGATTGTCAATATTAGCCATATTAAGGGACCGGAGGGGCCCCTAATGTGGTCCCTTATAAGGAACCCCTGCTCATAATTTTTCTTTCAAATATTGACTCTAGCTCATATCAAGATCCGTAGAAAGCAGCACAGGACACCTTTTGACCCTTGCGAAGAATCATAGAGCACTATACTTTATTCGAGAAGTGGCCCCCGCAAACTTGGAGCCCAGCTGCCTTGAGGGTGGTCAGGACTTTTTTGGCTTATGATTCCATAATGTGTGCTGCTGCCATTCTGGTTCAGTGTTTTGACAGCTTCTTCTGGTTGTCACGCTAATCATATCTAATCGCTATGAAGATAGTTGGAAGAGGCTGTCTGCCCAGTTCTGTGGGTTTCGTATAATGAGAAGCCCAGACTTCTAGTAATTGTTCCCAGGGTTGCGGCAGAGGGCCTCAACGAATTGAAGGATAATGAGCTATCGTACTTCTTCGAGAACTGGAGCTTGTGAGGTTAAACGGAGGGTGAAGATGGGGCGCGTGGGATCTAGGCTGCGAAATGGAGGTTCTGGAATACATGACTCGCCAATTCATCAAGCCAGGGAGGAAACACTTAAAAGTAATGACCAGGCGATGACCTACTTTCCGCAGTAGACGGGCTACCTTTCTCTTGACTACATCAAGCGGGCTTCCAGCCCCCCGCAGTCCTCTTTGTACAACAAGCCACCAAGCTGGGTTACCGTTAAGGAGCTTAAACTAAGTTACCATGATATGGTAATTAATACGATTTCCCCCAATGTAGCAACTGACCTTAAATTCTTCTAGCAGCAACCCAGTACGGCACCGTACCCCAGACGCTAGCCGCTGCACATGTGCGTTTCCCAGCAGTACTCTTTAATACTTCTCGAACATCCCCTGTAATCACCATATATCCCCAACGTCTTTAGGATACCCCCCGTTCTGAGAAACTCCCATAACATATCGTGTGCAACAGAAGTAGTACTTTCAAGCTCGGATTCCCAGTACGCATTGACACCGCAGGCCAGTCACCAACTTCCTTGGTTGAGCCAAAGGCCGTGACGAGCTTTTTGATAATTTTCGGTTCCTGGTTGGGCACCCTGTAGAAATAGTAGTTACACTTAGCAGTTACTTTAGGGCTTTGAAAAAGACCCTGGCTGCTACAAATGCACCCTTTTCCTGAGAACCTTGCTTGGGGCCCACTGAGGACTTGTTAATGAAGTAGAGGCAGGCTGTCTGCCTCATAGGCCTGCATTGGCAGAGCTAGCCGCTGAGGACAGCGGTCCAAGCTATCATCGGTTTGCTGGGTTTGAACTCAGGCTCCGCCCTGCAGGTGCGCTTGCGAGCGCACATCAATTGCTTGTAGCTGCTCTTTGCGTCGTCTCGATACAGCAGGATGCTGGCATACTCGTGTTGCCAAAACCCGTATGGGTACAGGTTGTCAAGCTGCCTTCAAGTCGAGAAGATGCCCATCGATTTCAGGATAAGAGCTCGAATTACGATGTTCCGAAGCCCCCCTCAGATCAGTGGGCCCTCCCAAACCGTAACAACCTGCAAAATGCAACTGAGTAGTTCTGAAGCATTCGCACAATGTTAGATCCGGTTTTGGGAAGGCCGACTGTTTGCAGTGGAGATTTCGCATTCCCAACTTAATGCTGCATATGCCGGCAAAAAGGCCCGTCTGCAATGCGCACCGCCGTAGCAGTCCTTTACAAAGCATGCGGGGGAGGTCCTTCTTTGAGTTCCGTCGATTGTGGTAGGGGCAGGGATGGGGGTGCAACAGCTCAAAAAGCGGCCTGGGCACTATGCATCAGAGCTTTTTTGGAAGCTCGAGGTTGCAAACCTTTTCGTGGTCCAGAATGGGTAAAGATCATGTCAGGTACAGAACAGAATAATGTGCGCTTGATGCCATCTAGTGATTGGCATGGTTCAGGCTGGCTCAAGCCTACACCGAGGATGCGCTAAACCGTAAACACACTGGAAAGGCTGTGATTTCTAAATCATACATGGCTGTAAAATTTAAAAGCACAAGGCTGTGCATACATCATTGCCAAACTCGCGTTTTTCAAATGAAGGCAGCTTTTGTGGCAACAACATCTGCCGGAATGTTGACCGAGGCTTGCAAGCATAGGCCATAAGCTAAAGCGCTCATCTGCTGGCGTCAGTCAACTCCCTCTGTGGTCTCCACCTGGCAACTGGGAGGCTTCTTTCAGCTGCTGCTGCAGGCTCTGACTTCTTAATTTATCACGTAGATGCACAGCATCCCTTCCCCCGGTGTGTTTCGCCCCGTTTTCCGTCAAATGTGATTGCTCCCTTCCTCTTTTGCAGTTGGCACCTTGTAACCGACCGGATATTCAACTGTAGGAAGAAGATGGGCTTTCAGTGTGGGAGGAAATGCAGTCCACATCATTAGGCTGGGAGGGGAGAGCAGCATTATATCTAGTTCCTCATTTGGCAGCAAATAATTGGTGGAATGTTCGAGATTGCGCCGCAAGGCAGAGCCTACTTGGACACGAATGGCCGGAGTGACTAAGAATGTTCAAAACACCGTTCGAGGTGGGGGTCTTTGAAGAACTGCTCACAGACCTTACTTTCTCCTAGTTGGACTGAACCTTAAGCCTCCAATCCCAACACCATGGTCCTGAACCCTGAATGCTAGATGTGGACCCTGCTTTGGATTGGGCTTTACGTTCTGGCGTCGAATCTCTGTGGGTCGCTTGCGCTTTTCGAGGGCTGCATCTTGGTGAGGTCTTGGGTCTGGGGACATGCACAAAAGTATAGGTATAGCAATAGAAATGACAGCGCTCGTAAAAGTAATAGTAGTGAAAGGAATTATTCTTCAGTTATATAGGAATTATGGTAATAATTGTCGCAATAAGAAGGCAATAGTAATAGTAGTACTAATAGCAGGACCCCTGTACAGAGTATTGCATGCAGGATGATCTGCTCAAGAACCTCTATGGTAACTCCTCACATTGCAGGAGTAAATTTGTTCCAGCAACCCTAACCCTACACCCTATACCCTAAACCCTATACCGTAAACCCTAAACCCTATAACCTAAACCGGATACCCTAAAACCCTATACCCGCAACCTTAAACCCTACACCCAGGTGAGACAACAGTGGCCCACTGCATTGTAGGTCATGTCCGAAGCTTCACTCAGCCGGAGGCCTATGGACTCCTGACGCAAATTTGAGGGTGCCAGGTTATAGTCCCCTTAATAGGCTTTGGGTATATTATAATAAGATCCCCATTTACCCCATATTCTATCTAGTTAAGGGGGACTATAAGTGGTTTAGGGTTTGGGACTCATATAGGGTTTGGGGCATTAGGCAGGGGCTTCAGGGTGCCGGGCGAAATGTCCAACTTTCGCGGGTCAGATCCAAGTGTGTGTCGGATCATCTCACATTGACTTTTTTACCCATCGACCTGCGTCCACACTGGCAACCCAGTTCAAAAGCATCTACTAGAATAGATGTCACGCAAAAACAATTCTTGCAATTGTGCTGTTTCTACAGCATCCACAAGGTTTCAGCTCATGATGCAGTATGTCTGCATGGTATCTCGTATGTTGCATGCTGTGTCTCACTCCCGGAAATACTAGATATCAGACATTATCACATCTATGCAGGTCTTTGCAATTCAAGGAAAGCCACCTTTTCTTACGTTGTTTGTTTACGTGCCATGGATTAATCGTGTAGTGTCGAAAACCGACTCGGGCGGTCTGTCCACAACGCATTAATCGGGAAATGGTAGTACCTCATCATCCCATGTTGGGGCATGTGTGAAACCAGCGTCTACATTGCGAATCATACGAAATTTAACCCTTGAATCTTGTGATTTTCTTCTCACCCCAGCGTCCGCCACCCTCGCGTCGGGTTGCCCTGGAATCAGCATCTACATTGGAATTACCATTCTCGATGTGTAAATATTCGCTGAGGTGAAATCTTCCCAGTGCCAGCGTCCGCAATAGACGATGTGTATTCACACCGAGTGATGCGTGTTAACCCCGGCGCTTGTAAGGGGCTAGCAAGGATTGTGCATGTAATAAAGTATTTTGAAAGCAAGCTCTTGGAATTGCGCTTTCGAACCAGAGATGTACCCTGAAATTCCTATGTCAAATCTATTTCATGAGAAGCCAACGAGAGGTCTACCACTCCATCCACCAGACGCTGGTTTCGCGAGCTTCACCACTGGAGTGCTCGCGCTTCTTCTACGTCCTGGGTATGTCTTCCAAGTTTGACACATCCAAGGTTGGGGGTTTAAGGCGTATATACCCTTGTAGCGATGTCTTAAAGTGATAAGCTTGGGGTGAAAAGTCCCTGACAGGGTGGCATCTACGATTTCGACGTGGCAGCTCTCCACGACTCAGCCTGGCAATTGATGCCTCCTACAGACTTTGTTTTGGATCCCCCAGTCCCTACGGACCGGCGGAACGCCTCATTCCAACATCCCGGCTGCCTCTTCCAATGTGTGCACATGTTTGACAAGGTGCGCGCATGCTACCAGCTGGTTCAGAAGTTTCTTGGCTCATTCCTATTTTCTTTTTGCACAAAAAAAGTACCGCTGAGAATCCGACGGGAGAGAATACAGAAGATTCAAGGCTTCCTGAAAGTCTTGAAAGCATTCGACAGTAGATATTCCAGTATTCTGGTTGATGTCAAGAGCAACCCAGGTTTGAGAAGCAATCCAATCACAGCTTCACATGGATAGTGAGGAGCAGGCCGGATCTCCTGTGGGACACTGAGACCGGGCAACTGCCAGGAACATTGTTCCATGAGCTATAGTATAAGCTGCTTAAGGGAGTTACATAGGGGAGTATGTAGGGGAGTACTGTAGGGTACTAGGAGTTTGGACTATAGCTTACATGTCGAAGTTACCTACATGCTTCTTGTGGCCTGAGCTCATTTAAGTGTGTCTCACGTTTTCTGAGTCTAGTAGTCCAAAAAGTGATCCAGGACAAGACTGAGCTCCCCGCCTTGGAGAACCTTCCTCAATCGGCCGTCTACTTTGCCTATCAAGTGAAGGCTGGGGAACCAAATCAAAAGGGCCAGGCTACAACAAGCTAAGCAGTACCTGAAATCACGGCACAAAGTGTTGTTCAACTTTTTTGGCTCCCTCGAGGCAGCCAATTTTACACAAAGCGTCTTTCAGTGGTGTTTGTAGCCTCCATATTGAAATCGAGAACATGTCAACAGCAGTGTGTATGCGAACCTAAGCAGTCTCAGCTTTGTCATGTAAGGCCTGAGCAATTCCCTGCTAGTCCTGAACCTCCCGCAAGTTCGCACGGTTCCCAAGCTACCTTACCTCTTTCAGAGAATGCTCTCTTGAAGACCTTCTTCAGCAACCTAAGCCCCTTTAGGCCGCAGCGCTAGAAAATTAAACCTCCTGCCCTCCTGCCCACCCTCTCAACAATCTTGCAGCCTATACCAACGTGTTCAGCCCAGTCGGACAAGCACCTGCCCCTGACATCAAATGACGCAATTGTGATTTGACAGTCCTATGTAGGTCAGATTTCTGATCAGAGGGACGACGGTTTTGTTGCTAGGGCTGAAGGGGACGGGTTTCTGAACCATTTCATGATTCTCAGACCTTATGTACGCCTAAGCCCTTCACCCTCAACTCTTGAACCACCCCTAAGCCTTGAAGCATTGAACAGTAGTAATCATAGTAGTATTCATCGTTATAATAGTAGTTGTAATAACCAGAATAGTAATAATAGTAATCGAAATAGTCACGGAGGTGCAGGATGGCATTGGCATTTTCAGGGATCCGGTGCAGATCGTGCCACGGAAGTATGCAGATGACATCTACGACAGGCTCGAGAAGTTGAGAGTAGAATTGCAAGGCTGAGGATAGCAGAAGATGAAGTGCTAGGGTATAGTTTTGCTACCTCTGGAGTAGGGATTTGTGAGTACATGTGTTGATGCTTGTGTACTGGGACAAGGGACGGAAAGTTCGTTTGTCAGGATCTTGGACCGCTGCCTCTTGCGACAGAACTTGCGCGAGGACCGCGTTTGGAACTGTGACACCTGGCTTGTCCAGTTCTGTGAAGAGCGAGGAATCCTGGTTTGCATTTAGTTCTGTTCTAACTTCAACTATCTAATTTTTGGGGATTCCTAGATGTACTTGTTCCACATTTTTCTGCACGGAACAGGGACTGAGGAATAGCTATGCAATATCTGCGGCTGCACGCGGTCATTCAGAGACTTAGCAACATCGAGGATGATTTTCATACCTACCATGATCAGTGGGCCCAGCATGTCACAAATGCAGAGATGATCCTGCCCAACTCCATCTTTGTCATTGGGACCGAGGATGAGAAGCATGCCGCACGATGGTCGAACACCACTGCCGGTCTACCAGGGAGGGCCTTTGCAGACGAAGGCTGCAACCTCGTAGCAGATAGCCAGTTTTGTGTGCATACCAATGCCTACCTCATCCATCTACGGCTTGCTGTCTACATACCTGCAGCAAACCGGCAGAGGCAGATCAAGTTTGGGCTGTTCCGCACGTATGCTCGCAATATTCGATTCCGCGGCCGTCATTCAAGATTTCACACCAATTCCACCGAGTTTTGGCCCTTGCTGACGTTGCCGTACAACCTTATAGAGCTCGCGCAGGGCGTGAATGCTGAGCATGCTGGCATTTCTTACAACCTTTTTCGTCCAGTTCTGATGCGACGAGGCGATTGTATCTTCTGGACATCATGTGCAGAAACAGATGCGCCAGAGCCTGAAACCTGGAGTGCGGGAGAGGAAGTCCCTGGAGTTTCCAGGTGCTTGTTCCGTCGTGGTGTGCGGCCTACATATGTGCGAAGCAGCAAATCCATTGTATCCTTCGAGCCTATGATCTCCAGGTATCACAGTGCAGCGTTCACCTTCTTGAAGCAGGTGCCGCCTTTGTGAGCACAGGTCAATTCTCGTCGGAACGGTTGGGTTGCATCAGGACACTGGAGGCTGGTGGGGACAGCTTTAGATCCAGTTCAAAGGCTGCGAGGCGCTGAGCAGAACAAAGACTCTGTGATAGGACTTCGCCTGACCCTGTTGTGCGCAGCGAGTCCTGTGGGAGCTGCAGTCAACAAAGTTCGCAACAGGCCCAGCTTCTACGACGGGACACTGCCTCCAACTTCAGAGGATCACATGGAGAAGCAAAAGCAACGTCTGGCATCCTTGCAACGTGCAGCTGACGGTCAAAGAAGCTTGAACAAGTCTTCCAGACATTGTCGCACAAAGGTGTTTCCATTCTTCCTTATCTGTGCCTACTCCAGAGGGGAGGACAGCATCGACACACCCTGCAGGATCATTCTTGCAGCTATGCTGCATTACTGGCGCTCACAAACCAGACAGAAAAATGTTCCGTCTGAAGTTCTGGAGTTGCAAGAATCATTGCAAGGCAGCACGCTGCTGTGAGCTCAGTCATGCTGCCATGATGGTTTGCAGAGGACGCACAAGTTGTAGTCCCAGAAGTATCCTAAGCTCAGATTGGTTTGGAGGGCTCAGAACCTCCAAGCCCGCGTGCCTTGTATGTGTCCCATCCTGACTTATATAAGCTGAAGCTAGCACAATTTGCACGGGCACACACACACATGCTTTTCCGTCAAAAAAGAAGAGGTGCATAACACGTGTCTGGGAAAGTCGCAGAGCCTGGCATTGTCCCTAAGCCCGGGCTCTCATGGCTTCTCAGGCCAGGTTTCCATGGCTTTGAGCTTTAGGGGTATTAGGGGTCATGGCTCTGGCCGTACGCGTTAATGTAGCAAGATGATAGGGTGGTTATGAGGGAGGAGGAAATGTCAGCAAACACTGGCCATACTCGTCGTGGTTTTGTAGGAGAAAACTGCAATTGAGGTAGTGCACTTGAGGTACCTTCTGGATGGATTGAACGTCATCAACACGTACACAAGTCGGCGGTGCCAATGTTCCTAGTGTCCAGCAGTGTGGACGCTGTCCAGTTCGTGGCATTTTTTCGAGACCTTTATGAAAGATGGTATGGGCTGTGCAGTAGTTCGGGTACATGTGCAGGGAATCTATAGCCGCCAGCTTCCGCCAGATCTCATAGTGCTGGGCTCAACAGCTTTTGTCCTGCTGTGATTGCTACTTCTGTAGGACTGTAGGACAGGTTCGCTGTTTGTCATCCTTGCGTTGCCAGGATGTCCTCTTGGGCTATGTCGGCCGCCAACTTGGTCAGGAGGTTTGCAGGGGCTGTAGCTCAGTCTTTGTCTTCCGGCAGGTTCTGGAATTTGCTCCGGGGTGTCTTGTCTGTCTGCATACGGTTGTTTTTTAAGTCCTAAACTCAAAGCCAAAGCCTCAAACTTTGAACCCCACGCATCAGATGTCTCGGGTCTGGATCTCAAGGATATTGCGTGTAGGAACAGGGTTTTCAGGTGCGTTCTGATTTTGGGGATCTAGGCTTCGGAATTGCAGTTTGGGACACTGGGAGGGCTAGGCAGGTGAGAACGGATTCTCACAGTTACAGACCTTTCTTGCCTGGAACGCCTTTGGGACAATAGCATCCTCGCTTGCCTTCAATCTCCCGCGCTCTTCGTCTCGGAGCTCAACCTACTTAGTAACTGTAGTTATAACCCAAAAATAAGTCCCATAAGTACAGTTACCCTAGATATAATTGGGTTCTAACTACAGTTACTAAGTAGGTTATAAGTACCATGGACCTCCAAGTAGTGTTTGTTTAGCACGTTCTGTCCGCCGCGTAGCTAAGCTTTGACTGTTTGGGAGCAGCACGCCACACACATCAGCGGAAGCTTGGTTTCTTGCATCCTCAACCTTGACACGAAGTATAACAACCCCGTGCCCGAGGATTATGTCCTGGCGCGCAGCGAAGTGAAAAATGTGGGGTTTCAGTTGGAAGAGAGATACGAGGAAGAAATAACGATCACGAGAAGTTACAAGGCCCAAGACTTGGAACATCGATAAGAGGAAAATGAAACGATAACAACTTTTCGGGTGAAGTAAGCGGGAGCGTTTTTTTATTCAACCCCAAGTGGCCTTCCGACACCGGATCCCAAACAGCCGTACGCCACTTGCCTTCAACTGTCTACCGCAGGAGCTCGATGTGCGAATCAGCCGCTTTGGAGGCGGATCTCAATTCTTCTTTTGGTCTTCTTCCGGCTGCTCCGGAATCTTTTTCTTCTTGGTTTGCTGACTTGACTTGCGCAAATGCTCATGAACGATCCTTCATCGGTAGCCATATTGCAGAGCAAGAGCCTTCGCAATGCGGCGGCGTCAACTCGATAGTCCAGTTTCACGGGCAGGCTGCGCCCTATGGCCGGGCTCCAGAAGTCGTTAATTCACAGCAGAGCTGATCCAGCACAGTGCGACAACTCTGGCCGAACTGCTCTGCTGGAAGCTGGCAAGGCTGGCGCTCAGACAGACAGTCGGTCTGCCAAGAAAGCAAAGGGCCGTTTGGTGAGTCTTCAGGAAGGCAGATGCTTGAATTTTGCTCCAGAAGATTGGATTCGGAAGTTTTGGCAGAACGACATGCCGCCTAGAGCGCTGCCAGCACACTCTGGCCTTCCCAGTGCAGCCACCACCTCATTTCAAAGAGCATATCACCCCGAACTGGCGTTACCGCCCACGTCGCTGATCACGCAGCCGGTCTTCAGTCAGTCTCCGCCTGATGGTGAGGCAAAGGTACCCCTACGTGAGTCCAAGAAGGCCCTGCCAGAGACGCCTGTTGACCGGCATGGGCGGAGCATTGCAGACTATCTGCACGAGATACAGATGGCTCGATTCCACCTCCGCCATCGCCAGCAGTTCTGTCTTTCCAAACCACTAGGCCAAGAAGACTGTAACATGCCTGGGAATGCCAATGCGGTCACTGCAAAGCGGTGGTCACTGGCCGGTATGCCGGCAATGGCAGAAGTGGGTGAACTTTCGCGGACATGCACGAAGACCTCTTCGACCGTTTTCTTGCTCCATGAGGTACTGAGACCGCCAGAGCCGTTCGCGCTCTGCAAGCCCTGAAGACCGTTGAGACGGAACCAGACTTTGACCTTTGGTTGAAAGCAGCAGATCCTTTGACAAACCGTTCCGTGGCGGTGCGCCATGGTCATCAGGAGGTCGCGGCATTCTTGCTGGGGTGCAAGTGCGACCCCCTACAGACCGACACCATGGGCTGGACAGCACTACATATTGCTGCAGCACATGGGTTCTCGGAATGTAGCCAGGTGTTCTTGCTTCTACACCAGAAGGACGTCTTTGATCAATCGCCGATGGAGGTGGCCAGACGGCAATGTCACAGCCGGGTAAAGCGGGTCCTTCTGGGACAACACAGCTCAGCAAGGCTTTGGAGAGCATCAGCACCCTCGAGAGCGAGAGCAAGGAGTTGAGAAGCTTGCTTTCACAATAAAAGGCCGAATCAGACCAGCTTCGCAGCATTCATCAGACGGTGCGGGCATTGTCAACAGCATCTCGTGACAAGGTTGGCTGCAACGCCTAGGAGAGCCTCCATCAGAAGATTTATCGCTTGGAGACCGGGCTTGAGGTGAAGGTTGCTGCTATAGACTCGCAGTTTGCCCAATGGCGCGGGACCGCTTTGGAGGGCATCG